TATTGGAAAAGTTATATTCAGAAAGAATAAACTAGTTTTATTAAGTAAGGACTTGTGTCACTAAAGTTTCGTCGGAACGAAGTTACGGAAAATCAATTAACAAACGGAGACGTAACAATACCTTCAACTCTCAATGCACTGTAACTTCATCGATAATTTAAAATTTTGTCTTATTACCTGAACATAGCGAAGTTAGGTTCATAGATTCTCTTTTAGTCGAGAAGCTCTTTGTCTGTTATGCCTATTTCTAATCATAAAGGTCTTTATTTGCTAAGCCTATTTATAACCATAAAGCTCTTTGTTTATTAAGCCTATTTCTAACCATAAAGGTCTTTATTTGTTAAGTTCATCGATAATTTAAATTTTGTCTTATTACCTGAACATAGCGAAGATAGGTTCATAGATTCTCTTTTAGTCGAGAAGCTCTTTGTCTGTTATGCTTATTTTTGATCATAAAGCTCTTTGTTAAGCCTATTTCTAATCATAAAGGTTTTTAGTTGATCATCCTATTTATAACCATAAAGCTCTTTGTTTATTAAGCCTATTTCTAACCGTAAAGGTCTTTATTTGCTAAACCTATTTATAACCATAAAGCTTAATTTCGGGTGTAAATTAAGTAACTTTTTTATATACATATTTTAAGTTTTTGAAGTGTTGGAATTCAGCTCCAATTTCAGGTGCCTGAGTGGTGCTCTGGTGTGCTCCGGCAGCACTACACCCGTGACCGTAAACAAGTGATGACCTAGTGGTTATGGTGCTCCATTTACAATCTATGGGTCGCAGGATCGAATCCCGTTGTAGAATAATTTGGGACATTTTAACCATAGAGGAGTTATAATGCGACGGTCAAACCCATTATTCGTTGGTAAAGAGCAGCCTAAGAATTGGCGGTGAGTGGTGTTGACTAGCCGCTTATCCTCTAGTCTATCACTTCAAGATCAAGAACAGCTAGTGCAAATAGCCCTCGTGTAGCTTTGCGCGAAATTTAACAAACAGTCAAGTGACCTATTTTTTTGTGGCAGTGGTTGTTGAAAGTCTTCTACGATACTCACAATTGTATTTTAACGATGCCCTTTCATTGTTAATAACAGATACGAATTAAATTAGTTGATCTTTTATTTATTTCTGTAATGTGTCTATTGAAATCAAACTTTCGCCTAGTTCTTTTTGGCATAATAAATATGAGTAAATATCACATTTCATTACAGATTCTTATATTGCGTTTCTCTTTGACAGCTTTGATGGGTGTCCAATCAAATTAATCTCTTATTTGTCACAAGTCACTGTCTATGAGGTTTTTTTTTTGTCCAACGCTAGAGCTCATCAATTGGGGCGGACATGCAGCTGTGATACATACACCTCTTGTGTAAAAACCATAGTAGACGGTATTGAAAGAATATAATAAAACCAACAGTAAATAATCACCACTTTCTAGCGCTTATAGTAAAGTCTAAAAACCTTTCTCGAGTCCTCTGATGTGTCAGCGGTAGATTTACGGACTTACAACATGGCGGGCAGAGCGCAGATATCCCACGGTATAGCTTTGCACTAAAACGAAATAAAAACAAAGCAGTTTAAGCGCGTCACTCCTTAATGACCATCTGTTATTGCTGCTTACAAACTGGGCATTGACCATTTCAAAAAGAATGCGCTAAAAACCTTTCTAATGAAATGCGACGTTGTATCAAATTTATTAGACCTAAAACATTTCTTGTCTTACCAACATTTTAAACCCTAACACTGAAACTGTAGTATACTCTTAGAATTAAAGTATAGCAAAAGAATTAGCAGTTTTAAGAAAATTAATCGATACTTCCAGTCCTCTGGTGGGACAGCGGTAAGTCTACGGATTTACAACGTTAAAATCCGGGGTTCGATCCCTCGCGGTGGACACAGCAGGTAGCCCAAAGTGGCTTTTCTTTAAAAACAAACAAAGAAACTCCCGGTTGGACAGCGGTTAGTCGACAGACTTACAACGCTAACATCCGGTGTTAAGCTCCCCGCGGTGGATACAGAAGATAGCCGGATGTTGCTTTAGTTTAAAACAAACAAACGGTTACTTCCAAGTCTGGAAACTTGTTTCGAATCGTGGCCTTTTCACGCACAAAACATCCGGGAACTGGACTGGGGTCGTGTCTTTTATCGATTCACGAGACATGTCAGTCATGCTCTTCTATACATACTTTATATGACTAAATCAGATAGAAATACCTACTTTTGACGATTGACAAACCGTTATTTGCAGGCCCTCAGGAACAGATTAACGAGATCACGTCTTACCTGGACGCTTCGAATGTATACGGTTCCACAAAGAGTGACGCGGCCTACCTGCGAGCCTTTAAGGGGGGTAAGTGCTCCTGGTTTATATACACTCTTCAGAACGGGTTATCTAAAGGAACATTTTGGTAAGTAAATCTAATTTTAGCACCTGTTGTCAGTAGAGTTACAAAGACGTTACCGCTTTTCTGTTAACGTTTTAGTTTTTCACACCTTTGCTAAAACTACCTGTCATTGAAGTTGACCGCTCTGCCTGTTCAGTTATATGTGATGGGCTCAAACTAAATATAAATCTTACCTTACGTAGTTTTTAAGGATCAGTCTTATTAAAAGTCCACAGTGTATTCTATTTAGCCAGTATATGTCCCATCATGGATTATATTTTTTACATATTTATTTTGTTGCATTTGATAAATGTATATAACCAAAACTCGTACAACTTTGTACTTGTGATACAAATAACAAAACACTTTTGTTTCTAATTTTTCTCTCTCTTCCACTCTATATAATTCATTCCAATGTTCTTTCTTTGCTCCGAAACTTAGTTACATTCCACAATTTCATTAAATAAATTCCACATTTTCAAGTCAGTTTCCGTGAATTTAATTTTATCTTTTGATTTTTTCTTTCTAACTTCTAGAACTTCGATTTCAATCCTCAACTTTTCCACCTCTAATCTTGATACATATATATAAATTCAGAGTGGGCCGAGAGTAACACAGCTCTAATATATCGTATATGTAACGTGTTTTGTTTTTCAATCACTATTCGAACATTCCAGAGGTCGCTTACGACAGTTGGAACACCTCAGATACTCTAGCGTCATCGGCGATTCTCGGACAGATTTACCTAGGTGGCGCCCATGTTCTCTTCAGGTGTAGTCGTCCCTGAGTTAACAGTCGGAGACTAGGGGGAAGGTAGCTAGTCAACACCACCCACTACTCTTGGTGGTAACAATTTACCACGATAAAGTCTGCTCTGTGGTGGAGCTTTGGATTTCGGAGTTGTCGAACCGAGTTCGAATCCGTGCGATACTACAATATATTCCCCGTACTTTAAGCTGTGAATGGTGGGCGGTACGGTTGCCTTCCCTCTGGTGAGCAGTTCCAAATCAGGGACGACAGCCTTAGTAGCTTCGTCATATAAACAGTACTCTTTGAATTGACATATTCCATATGGCCAGGTAGTAATCTGTGGGTCGCGGATTCGAATCCCCGTCACACCAAACATGCTCACCCTTTCAGCCGTTGGGGCGTTATAATGTGACGGTCAATCCCACTATTCGTTGGTAAAATAGTAGCCCAAGAGTTGGCAGTGGGTGGTGATGACTAGCTGCCTTCCCTTTAGTCTTACACTGCTAAATTAGGGACGGCTAGCGTAGATAGCCCTTGTGTCGCTTTGCGCGAAATTCAAAAACAAACAAACAAACATATTCCGTGTGTTTTTACCGGTGCATTAGTCCCCCCCCCCCTGTGGGACAGCGGTAAGTTTACGGACTTGCAACGATAAAATCCGGGATTCGATTCCCCGTGGTGGACACAGCAGATAGCCCAGTGTGGCTCTAAAACAAACAAATATTGTGATAGAGACTGCTAGCTGTAGGCGTGCATGCTGTATACATGTTGGAGTCCTGTTACTTTTAGGTAGGCCTCCAAGTAGAATATTGTAAATTACATATTTCTGAGCTTGTCGAAGTAGCTAAATAAAACTTCAAACTAATCGTAGATATCTAAACACCACCAACAAAGTTAATTAATAGATTTCAATATGATATCCAGCATGCTTGGTTTAATTTTTTGCATAAATATTAACTTTTTCATGTACTTCGCAGTTTTAATAATTTTCTTGGTTTATCATTTTTTATACTTACTGTCATAAATAAAAGTAATTGTTATAGAATATATAATCCACAGGGAGTTATATAATAATATTTTTCGGTAAATCTGTAATGTTAATATTGTATTTTATCTTGTTTTATCAACCCCGGTTAAACGCTCGACTCGCAAGCTGTGGGTCTCGGGTTCGAATCTCCGTCACCGAACATACTCATCCTTTCAGCCGTGGGGGCGTTATAATGTTCGTTAGTAAAAGAGTAGTCCAAGAGTTGGCGGTGGGTGTTTTGACTAGCTGCCTTCTCTCTAGTCTATCACTGTTAAATTAGGGACGGTTAGCTTTGCGCGAAATTCAAATCAAATCATTTTATCTACTCCACCAAGCATTGATACTATTATATAAAAAGTTACTTGTGATAACGCTAAAGATACAAATTTTGATTGTTTGTTTTCATTGGTTTAACAGGTCGCCTACGAGAAACGTCTTTTAAATTCAAAAAATCCATTTTGCCCCCAGGAACGGTCAAAGAATTAGAAGAATGCCGCCATATTGATCCTCACAATACCGCTTGTTTCACAGCAGGTAAGGTAAACTTCAAAAAATAATAATTATTAACATCTTTCTGATATCTGATTCAACGTTATAGACACGTAAAGGCCGAATTGCTTGTGTATTTTGTCTGGAGATATGATAATAATTATAAAAAAATGTGCTTACTTAACCTAGTTCCCACCATAAAAGTCGTTCATCTAAATGATAATCTAAATAGTTCCTCGACTAGTATATCTGTCGTATCCCAGCCAGTCTGATGAGCCCTGGTATTGAACGAAAGACCTCGTCGGCACGGTATATGGCAGATATACTGTGATTGACATATTATTATACATTCATCTTTGCTTTCACTCATAAGTTCTTAGAAGAAACTCCAACTTATGAACTCGGATAGAGAAAATATATTTATGCACAAATTCTAACTTATGAAAGCTTGTTTTCCTTCTCGACGTTACCGTTGCTTGTGTAGTATCCCACGTCAGAAGTTACCAGTCAACCACGAAAACAGGTTTATCATGATGTGAATAGCCGTAAATAAGTCAGGTATAGTTCAGAGCTACAGAGGGGCGTTATAATGTGACAGTCAATCCCACTATTCGTTGGTAAAAAAGCAGCCAAAGAGTTGGCGATGGGTAGTGATAACTAGCTGCCTTCCTTCTAGTCTTACACTGATAAATTAGGGACGGCTAGCGCAGATAGCCCTCGTGTAGTTTTTCGCGAAATTCACAACAAACAAACAAACTGTTTTTTACAGAAATTTCGTACCGTCATCCTCTCCATTTTACTAATACTGGCAAAGCTGTAGTTTTCTGAAAAATTTTACTGTTGTTCAGGAAAAATGTATACGCTTCTGATTTATCTCCAGCACTCACAACATTCAAAATATACTTCAGATCTTCACCTGTGTCTTCCTTACGTATCACTCCAATCCATCATTTTTTGCTATTTTGCTAAAGCTAATTTAGAGATGTTCCACGTACTAGTACAATGTACTTTTGTGTAATACTCGACAAATACGTATTGATATCATAAGGCCACATTTAACAGGTTTTGTTGTTGTTGTTGTTTGTACAAAAAAGATAGAATCAACTATGAGCTTAATATGCTCAAATACAAACATATGGTAAAAAGTGAAAAAATGTCACAGTGGAATATTTGTTCCAATGGAATCCACTAGGATACTCACAGTAACGAAGGTTTGGTGCTTTTGTCCAACTGGTCCCCATCATTTCACCAACCCCATCTAACTATTAGCAGCTTAGCCTCCTGACGAACATGTGTTAGCACTGTGAATTGTATATTTGTATTTTTACTGGTTCAGTCCTAACGTAAGAGAATTAGTTGCGAGAATAGTTTGTCGCTAAAGATAATTTGGAACTTTTGCCACTTCGTCTTTCTTCACAGAGAGGAGACAACTTGTGATCCTTCCCGACTTGGCGGTAGACTAGTTTTAATATTTTAAACTTCTGCTTACTGTACAGACAAGTGAAGTGAATAAAAATTTATAAAATTTTATTTTCAATACTTGCTTACTTGCAATAGCGTTTTTTAGATTTTTTTTTCATTTCGTGGGCGTATGTGTGTGTGTATGTGTAAAAGTAAATCCACATCGGGCCATCTGCTGTGACCACCGAGAGGAATCGAATAGTGTTGTAAATCCATAGACTTACAGCTGTCCCAGCGGGGGACGTTGGGAGGGGGTGGGGGGTGGCACAGAGACGCAAAGAATTTGGAGACAGAAAAAAATAACATTTTCCTGGCAGTGAGAGTCATAATGTGGAGAATTAAAAAAATTAAACGACTATATCTGAGAGGGCAGAGCTCTCCAATGAGGGTCTGTCCCCCACGCCCCTGCTTACCTATGTATCTAAAATTTTATTCAGTTTTTAGTTGATTATCTTCCTTTATTGTTGGAGACTCAGTACAGCTAAAGTTACTCAACGAACTATCTGTACGGTGTCCGTCACAGGTCTCTAACCCCAAACTTTAGCGATATAAGCCTTCAGGAGGATGAGTGATAATTGTGAGTTAATATTGAATACACAGTGCGATTTATTCTGTTCACTTAAATAAGTAACAATCTTTTTTTTATAAGAATGATAAAGCCAAGCTGAGTCAGTAGCAAGTCAAGTAATAGTCATTTCAGAAGTTGTTTAACGTTTTTTGTATATTTATTTTACTTGAAAACCAGAGCATTTGTCGTCAGTGTCGGGATGCTTTGTCAAGAACAGTTCACTTATCTCTCCAGATCCTTTGTTTGTGGTTAGCAGGATACCACCCACGTAAAATATACATACCTTTGTCATCGTAGTGAGAACTAGGAAATAAATGTATTTAAGTTTGTACGAAACAAATCTAAGGATTGAATTACGTCGATCGAAATGCTCCATCATCATTTTTATGAGCCCCCTCAGAGGCTCAACTGTAAATTTAGAGAGTCTGTAATAGTGAAAATCAGGGTTAGATCCCTGCACTTAGCATATCAAAAATAGCTAATAGTATAACTTTACACATAAATCAAACAAACAAACGTTTTTATGACCACTTCTCTTGGTAAACCTTCTTTAGATGTAATTAGGATGGTGATAGTTCTTCTCTTGGTAAACCTTTTTTAGATGTAATTAGGGTGGAGATAGTTCTTCTCTTGGTAAACCTTCTTTAGATGTGATTAGGATGTTGATAGGTTTTTTCTTGGGAAACCCTTCCTTAGTGTAATTGGGATGGGGATGGTTCTTCTCTTAGTAAACCTTCTTTAGATGTGATTAGGATGTTGATAGTTTTTTCTTGGTAAACCTTCTTTAGTGTAATTGGGATGGGGATAGTTCTTCTCTTGGTAAACCTTCTTTAGATTTGATTAGGATGTTGATAG